GCAGCATTAATCAACAAATAAATCAAACCAAATAATAATTCTAAGTTTCAGTTGATATTTTCCATGTTGAAAACACCACCTCAGTGGTCTAGTGTGGTATGTTACTAGAATACAAAAGGTTGATGGTTTGATCCCTAGAGGAGTCATACTTAAACAGGTTAAAACATGGTACTTGTTGTTGCCCAGCCTGGTAGTGGGCATTGAAAGGCTGAAACAAGGACTGGTCAGTTTGGACTCAGCATACTGTGTTAAAACTGTGGCATTGTAACTCAGGGGGCTAGCACAATAGAAGGGCTGGGTGGGTGGACCAGTGGTTAAAGCAATTGCTCGATATGTCAAGGACCTAGGTTTGATTCCCAGAAATGTGTAGTCCATTTCTGGTGTCACATACAGTGATATTGCTGGAATAATTTGCTGATAGCAGTGTAAAACCTTACCCACGCAACACTAAAAACCCAATTTATATGTAAACAGTACAGTACAGATCAGCTTTTGGTACACTTACAGAATACCGGATACATACCAACCATATTGTTTAATGTCACGTCACCCTAACCCTAACCCTTACCCTAACCCGAACCCTAAACCTTACCTGACCCGAACCCTAAAGTTTACCCTAACCCTAATTTTATAACCCCCTTGCCCTAAACCTTGAACCCTAAACCTTACCCTAACCCTAACCCTAACCCCGTACCCTAAACCCGAGACCCTAAACCTAACCCTAACCCTAAACCTTGCCCCTAACCCTAACCCTAATCTTTTTATAACCCTTGCCCTAACCCGAACCCTAAATCTTACCCTTACCCTTACCTTGCCCTTAACCCTAACCCTAACCCTTACCTTGCCTAACCTTGCCCTAACCTGAACCCTAACCTAAACCTTACCCTAACCCTAGGGTTAGGAAGTTATCCGGTATTCTGTAATCTTACCCAGCTTTTCTGCATGAAAACATGCATGTACACACACCATATATATTTTTGGATTACGATGTCTGCCCAGTTTCATGTCCAGGGGATTGGCAAGACTAAATTCAGAGGTCATAGACATGAATGTATACTCCCATCCTGGAATTCATTTAGCCTAGTGGTTAAAGCGTTTACCTGTCACGCTGAAGAACCAGGTTTGATTCCCCACATGGGTACAATGTGTGAAGCCCATTTCTGGTGTCCCCCACAATGATATTGCTGGAATATTGCTAAACGTGGCATAAAACTAAATTCACTCCATGAATTTTACTGATCAGCGTAATAATATTGCACTTTTTCAGAAGCCTTACACTTCACAGATAGGATTTCAATTTGAGAATGAACAAAAGCAACTATTGATTTAATCTGAACTCACATTTCTCATGAGAACAGAAAATGTCACTTACATCATGCAGATCTTGGTATGAAAATTATCAGGCATGTTCAAATGTCTGACAACTGGCCCTTTTTGTTTTGTGGCAGGTTTTTTACTTCAGACATTATGTAGTGAAATGACACGAAGGTTTGTCCAGGAATGTTTCTATTTGAGTGTTATCATGTTATGTACACTGCAGAGTCTTCACCATTGCAGAACACCGAATGTATTAGTATTTTAAGTCTCTTCTCTCACTTCAACACATGACAGGGCTACTCACAGTGATATGTCTCTCATGGAATCAATACTGATATATATCCTCAATAATTCATGCACCTTTAATTTACTTCAATTCAATTAGATAGAGATTAATATGAAACTGTTTGAATACACTGACAAAATATCAAAGACATAAAAATAAAGGATTTTATACATTTAAGTGGTAAATTAAAATCTGCAGACAGATGACGAGGGATTTCGACATCTTTTGTTGTTTGCTACATTTGGGTATTTAATGTTATTTAGAAAAAATGTAGAAGTTGAAATCCATTGTGATATTTATTTGTTGGATGCTGTGTCAGATTGTATTACATTAGTGTATTCATTATTGTTCAGTGTATTCATAGGTATAGTACCCGTGAAGGTCCGGGTTAGAATGAACCCATGCTTGTCGTAAGAGGCAACTAACAAGATCGGGTGGTCGGGCTCGGTGGCTTGGTTGACACATGTCATCGGTTCCCATTTGTGTAGATTGATAGTCATGCTGTTGATCACTGGATTGTCTGGTCCAGACTCGATTATTTACAGACTGCCACCATATAGCTGGAATATTGCTGAGTGCAGCATAAAACTAAACTCACTCACTCACTCACACTCATAGGTATAGTGAGTGAATGAGTTAGGCTTTACGTCGCTTTTAGCAATATTCAAGCAATATCATGGTGGGGACCACCAGAAACGGTACCTATGTAGTGAATTAAACCTGGGTCATCGGCTTGACAAGCAAATGCATTACATGCACCATTTATGCAATCCTTTCTTCTTTATTAGCTCTGTAATTATTGCAAATTAGTGCCACCTTTGCAAACTGAAACTCACACCAAAAGGTATTGTGTAAAACTAAACAAACTTCTACAGTACTTATAGGGAAATACTTCCTGTTCAGTTGTCGGTGGACATGTATAATCTTGTAGAACTCCAAACACAATCAGCATTCTCCAAGTTGTTTTACTTTATGGACGTTATTCTTGTAGATTTGGGCGGTGGGGTAGCCTAGTGGTTAAAGCGTTGGCTCGTCACGCCGAAGACCCGGGTTCGATTCCCCACATGGGCACAATGTGTTAAGCCCATTTCTGGTGTCCCCCGCCGTGATATTGCTGGAATATTGCTAAAAGCGGCGTAAAACTAAACTCAGTCAGGCAGTCAGTCTTGTAGATTTAGCACACGATGTTCAATCACAACATACTTATATCTTCTTCAGAATAAATGTCAGACTCTATTTCAGAACACAAAATTGCAATATGGTGGCCCTTTGTCATTGTTTTAGTCATTATTTCCTGTGAAATGAAATTGGCTTATATCAGCTATAATACCTTAGAAACCAGATTGTGATCAGGCCATCAAATCCATGAAGATCCAGGTTAGAAACAGTCTTTAGCAACCCGTGGTTGTTGTAAGAGGCGATTAAATGGGGCGAGTGGTCAGACTTGCTGACTTGGTTAACTTCATATCCCAATTGCATAGATCAATGTTCATGCTGTTGATCACTGGATTGTCTGGTCCAGACTTGATTTTTTACAGACCGCTGCCATATAGCTGGAATATTGCTGAGTGCGGTGTTAAACAAAACAAAACAAACTTCACTGTGGGAAGTTGGTAAAATCAGTGGTGCGAGAGCAAGAGCATGATGCTTCCACCAAAGGTGATGCCCTTTGGCATCATTGTACTCGGCAGATAATTGTGGAATATGAGAGAGTGACTTGGGTGTGTAGCAATATTCTAGTAACGGCGGTAAAGAACAAAGAAAAACAAATCAAATCAAATCCTCAGCCACCTCCAAAGTACTATACTATTTTGTCCCTAAGCTCCTGCAGGTAAAGAAAATCACAATTTGTGTTCCCTTCCCTGCTGCCTTGACAAAATACCCTGTATACATAGTCCCTTTGAACATATACAGTACAGTACAGTACATTACAGTCGCACCTGTTGACCTGTACACACCTATTCTCATCATTTTAAAAGTAAAACGTAAAACTGAATGAGTCTCATAAAAACTTAAAACTCACATTTTTGGTACATTTGAATGTAAATCCAATTTTATTGTTGCCGTATTGAAATTTATTTACCCAATTATTCAGTGATTTGAAACAATGACTTTTAGTGTAAATTTTGATGACCAGGGACACAGACAGTTTTTGTTGTGCAAAAATGTGTTTACTTAGTAAATGATTACAATGTGTTTGTATACAGAATACAATAAAAGTTACAGAATGGAAAGGATTCAGAATACTCGAATTTGGATGTGTGCAATTTTACAGAGATAAAAACAATGACTTTTAGTGTACATATTGACCTGCTAGAAACGGAAGGGGCTTTGTTGTACCAGGGCTCCAGATAATTTTTCAACATCAGAGAGTACGTACTCCTTATTTGTTCAATATAGGAGTACTGGAAAACCTTAAGTGTACATTTAGAGTACTGAATGGAAATTAATGGACTATCAGTAATCTTGTGTTTCGTTTCATATATGCACCACAATATTGCTACTCTTGTGTAAACAGTTCAATAAACAATAAAACAATACTTTTTTCAGATAAATATGCCTGTAAATGATTCTAAGACTGTACACCATTGCTGTGGTGCGTATCTGCTACGTTTTCTAAATTATTTCCTACCGTATCGTGCATATTTTTTATCCGTACATACGCTGATACGGCCCTTATCTGGAGCCCTGTTGTACAAACCTGGCTTACCTAGGAAATGATACATTGTGTCTGTATGCAAACAACTTTTAATGTTAAGTCTGCTGAGTATTCTCTTTAAGCTGAGTATACTTGCTTCAGTAGTTTACAATTTGGGGTGGTTGACTTGGGGGGTAAGATTAAGATAAATAGCCTATTACTGTCACATGCTAGAACTCAGTGTTTCTGATTACATTCTGCTTTCTGACCCAAGCTATTTGCCTAGAGCTCTTGATAAACGTTATTTTCACTGAGTGTTTGTACGAACTCAGTCAAAAGCTTATAAACTGTAACAGAAGTAAATCCCTGAATAAGGGCCAGTGACGCCTTTTGAATTTAGAAATTTCTGACATTGAAAACAAATTAAATCACTTGACATTCAATGAGTTTGGATGTTGGAAGGATTTCAGTTTGTATCGTTGACGCCATTGCATCTCCGATCGTCCAGATTTATCAAGTTTTCAAGTGGCTCTGTTAAGCGTGATAAATTTCCTGAGCTTATCGGTTTGTTTTTATAATGGGGTATATTTCACCACCCAAGTGTTTGTTGTAGTTGAGTTGTGAATTGTAAATCCTTCTCCGTCATGGATGTGGGACAGCTCCATTCTCTCTGCACCGTGGTCTACGTGTGGGGAAGGGGTGCTTGAAGTTGTCAGTCATGTGGTTGGTTACAGAGACTCTTGGAAGGCGGCACGGATCTCGCGCTTAGCCATGCTCAATCAGTTATGGTTCAACTATGGAGAAGTTAATGAAACGTGATAAAAAAGTGAAGTTTAAATCCCCCGATAAGTTTGAACTTTCAGATTCTTCCGAGGATGACAACGATACTATTCTTATACCAAAACAGGTCAGTAGGGTGAAAGTTCCAAGAATTATAAAAATTATATATTTTTGTATTTGATCAATTTTATTTTAATTCAAAAATTTATATAATGTTTGCTTCACTTTTGTGTTTATTTTTGTGTTCTTATTTACTGATTTAAAGTTTATAACATTTCATTTGATGCAAAGATATTTTGATGTGTGAATGATTGTACACTGCTAGTTTTAGTCACATGCTGGTTTTTTTAATCACCAGAATGTTTGTCTGTTGACCTGTGCTAAGACGACACCTTATTTTTGTACTATTCTTCTCTTTTTAGCTTACATGTATTTAAGCTTATAATTGTGGAAAGATTACCATGGTTATTTGTTTTCTGTTCAATGAGTGGCTCTTACTGAGGTATTTATCAGCATCTTTCCTTAAATGACCTTTTGTATATTGATAGGTGCTGCAAACAAGTAATTCAGCTTTGTGTGTAGCCAAATAGATATAAAATTCACTGATGTCAGAGATAAATAATATTTTATTTACTTACATCCTAAAGTTGTTGTTTTTCTTCAAATTTAAAAGCTATATTAAGTACATGTGCTAGATACAATGCTAGGTTTCAATATGCTTTCATCAATATTCTCAGAGGAGAGGGTGGTGGGGTGTCCGAATGGTTGAAGCAGTTTCTCGTCATGTTGAAGGCCTGGGTTTGATTCTCGGTGTATGAGGCCCATATCAGGTTGGTTTGTTGTTTAATGCCACACTCAGCAATATTCCAGCTATATGGCGGCGGTCTGTAAATAGTCAAGTCTGGACCAGACAATCCAGTGATCAACAGCATGAGCATCGATCTATGCAATTGGGATACGATGACATGTGTCAACCAAGTCAGCAAGCCTGACCACCCAACCCCATTAGTCGCCTCTTACGACAAGCATGGTTTACTGAAGATCAATTCTAACCCGGATCTTCACGGGTCCCATATATGGAGGTCCATGTCGTAATATTGCTTGAATATTTCTAAAAGTGGCGTTCAGCCATACTCATGTGATACTTTCAGAGGAGCAATTAGCACTTAGTTTCCTGTTCTGAGCTATGTCCCTGATGTTCTTGGGTTGTAGGTTCCCCCTTCCATCAAACTCCTTGGGAAACCGTTCTTACGTGACAGAGACAGTCCTACCCTGCCCCTGAGACATAGTTTTAACCCCCTAAATTCCAGTGTAGGTGATCCCCACTCTCTGTATCTTCAAACGTTTAGGGGGTCTGTTCTTTCATGATAGAGACCCCCACCTAGCCCTTCAAAACAAAGTTTTAACCCCCTAGACACCAGGGTACATGATCCCCTCCAGCCACCCCCTGACAGGCTAGACTGCCCCACAGGGGACACCCAGTGCTGAGATGGTGTGTAATCTGACAATAGATACAGGCCAGCTTGGCTTCCTGGTAACCAACCCATCTCCACAATCAGCTGTCATCCACAGATAAACACAACCTGAAGTGTTTTCATTGCTTGTCTTTGTGATTATGACATCAAGATTTGAGCTCAAAAGTGCATTCTGTTCATATGTGCTACTGCTGGTGTATTGCAAGACCTGTTTTGAGACTCTGTGGTGCTGAATATACAGAGGAACATATCAATAAGTCAACATTTCATAATATAATAACTTGATGTGAAATGATTCCCAGTACCCAATGGTACATAGAGGGTACTAAATCAGGGTGGCCTCTGTGCCTGTAGCGTATGTATAGTTTGAATATTTGTCCTGAGCTATTCCCCTATTTGTGAGCTGGCTGACCTAGTGTGTCATCTTACCCTGATGACATTTGTTGAACGCCTTTCAGCATCAAGCTGTTTGATGACATGTGTTGACATTTTCTCAGAGTTGAGCTGGCTGACCTAATGTGTCATCTTACCCTGATGACATTTGTTGAACGCCTTTCAGCATCAAGCTGTTTGATGACATGTGTTGACATTTTCTCAGAGTTGAGCTGGCTGACCTAATGTGTCATCTTACCCTGATGACATTTGTTGAACGCCTTTCAGCATCAAGCTGTTTGATGACATGTGTTGACATTTTCTCAGAGTTGAGCTGGCTGACCTAGTGTGTCATCTTACCCTGATGACATTTGTTGAACGCCTTTCAGCATCAAGCTGTTTGATGACATGTGTTGACAGTTTCTCAGAGTTGAGCTGGCTGACCTAGTATGTCATCTTACCCTGATGACATTTGTTGAACGCCTTTCAGCATCAAGCTGTTTGATGACATGTGTTGACATTTTCTCAGAGTTGAGCTGGCTGACCTAGTGTGTCATCTTACCCTGATGACATTTGTTGAATGCCTTTCAGCATCAAGCTGTTTGATGACATGTGTTGACAGTTTCTCAGAGTTGAGCTGGCTGACCTAGTGTGTCATCTTACCCTGATGACATTTGTTGAACGCCTTTCAGCATCAAGCTGTTTGATGATATGTGTTGACAGTTTCTCAGAGTTGAGCTGGCTGACCAAGTGTGTCATCTTACCCTGAAGACATGGGTAGAACATTTCTCATGATCAGCATTGAGCTGCCTGATGACATGTGTTGACAATTTCTCAGAGTTGAGCTGACTGACTTAGTGTGTCATCTTACCCTGATGACACATGTTCACAATTCTGGAACTAGTCTGTCTTAAATGCTACATATTTGCACATAGAGAAATCTGTAGAAATTTCACTACAATATATATCCACAACATAAAAATCGGTCAAATAATAGTGACTTTAAGGACCAAACTTTACAACCTTAAACCATGTTTATGCTTTACAGCTGTGTGTTAATGATATACTTTATGACGTTAAACATATGAATAAACGGCGACAAGGCACTATCTGATGGTCATTTAGGGACAAGGCTGAAGATATGGCAAGCACACTTGCACTTCAGAACACACTTTCAGTCCTGTAATTGTATTTTCATGAGATAACCGGTGCCTGTATCAACACACTTAGTCTCAGAAGTGATTTAGTAGCTGGGGTAACCTACATGTGAGCTTACACACCCTGATCCCATACCTTAAGGCTGTTTCAACTTTGTAGGTACTTCAGATAGACCTGGCAATAGACATGTGCACATATTTGCACTTGTATTTTTCACAGATTTCTTGCCCAAGGTCATTCAGTGTCTCACACTGTTGTATGTGTATGTGTGAAATGTTGTAGAAGTATATCACACCATGTTTTAATATATCTGCTGGTATTGATCTGTCTTGTTTATTGTTTGTCAGTGAAAAACTGTGATGTCAAGGGTATTACATGAATATTGTTTTTGTGTGACATTTGAAATTGAATTCATCTTGATATAAAGGTCCTTAGAGGAATTACTGTCAGTTGCAAAATGTAAGAATTGTGCAAATTTTACTGTAAGAAATTAAAGAATTAAGATGAAATACTAGTTTCTTTAAACTATGAATTGAGTGTCTATCATGCAACCAAAAATTGACGCATTCTCGGTTCCAGACATGTGGCATTGTTTTAACTAAGACAGATACAGTAGTCGATCCTTCTTTCTAAAACATGACTTCCATGAAAAATAAATGTTAAGATAAAAGAGATAAAAACAATATACATTTCTGTGGTACCATTTATTGCCGAATTAGCAAGATCTTTTAAGCTATGCTGATCAGCTTTTTAGTCAAGTTTTGACCTTCTACTGACTAAACATGCTCACAATCCTAACTTTACTACAGCCTATGAAAATGCCCCTCCCTCCCTTCCCCATCCCATCCCTTCCCCATCCCTTCCCCTGACATCCTTGACCACCCAGGGTATAGTATCTCCATTCTGTTATGTCTCATATTGCTGTTGTCCCATAGTACCGATGTTGACTCATATTGCTGTTGTCCCATAGTTCCAATGTTGGCTCATATTGCTGTTGTCCCATAGTATTGATGTTGGCTCATATTGCTGTTGTCCCATAGTACCGATGTTGGCTCATATTGCTGTTGTCCCATAGTACCGATGTTGGCTCATATTGCTGTTGTCCCATAGTACTGATATTGGCTCATATTGCTGTTGTCCCATAGTACCGATGTTGGCTCATATTGCTGTTGCCCCATAGTACCGATGTTGTTTCATATTGCTGATGTCCCATAGTACTGATGTTGGCTCATATTGCTGTTGTACCATAGTACCAATGTTGGATCATATTGCTGTTGTCCCATAGTACTGATGTTTGCCCAAAGTGCTGATGTCCCATAGTACTGATGCTGGCTCATATGACTGTTGTACCATAGTACTGATGCTGGCCCAATTTTAGGAATATGTTTAATTGGATTTCTAGTATAAACAACTTTGACCAGCTATCAAGTGCTTGGTTTTATTCAAGAGAGACAACTTCGTTAATCCTTTTTCATTAGTTTGTGAAGAGTTATCCCCCTTTGTTTACTTGCTAGCAGACGACATTTTAAGTGATCCTCAGTATGGATGAGTGAGAGAAGAGGAAGTTGATTTTAGAGTATTATAACAAGGACATCAGATCAGCTAAAGTGATTTCAAGTAGAACAGGCATCCCTTTGTCCACTGTTTATCGTGTTTTGAAAAATATTGCAAAAGGATATGGCATTGAGCACCAGGGAGGCGCAGGTCGGACCAGAAAATTGACTGTCGGTGACAGAAGGTGGCTTGATATTCTTGTTTCTGAAAACAAACGAAGGAGTTTAGAGAACTTAAGGCTGGATATGATTGATAGAGGAACTGTGGCTGTCTGTAAGGAGACAATTAGAACTGAGCTGCATGCAATGGGTTGGCAGAAAAGTCAAGGAATTCCATCACCATCATGAAACCTGAACAAAAGGAGCGAAGGTTGAACTGGTTCTTACAGCATAAAAATATTAACTGGGACAATGTGATTTTTTCTCAGATGAAAGTTCTGTGTGGCTGTTTCCAAATACACTGAAAACAAACTGACCAAACAAACTGAAAACCTTTGTATCAGTGCCCAAAGTACAGTCCAAAATTTAACATTGTCCATCTCGCGACCACCTCCGTGGGGTGGTTATATCTGTGTTAGGTTCGATCTCTGACAACGCTCTCTGTGTATTTTGGTCTCTGCCTGGCTTCGGAATATGAACAGTGTATAACGTGTCTGAGTGGGGTATTCATGCTTCACTGCGGCATGGTACACAGATATTCTCGACAAGCAGCCGGGACATATTTACTTCCATCTGCTCGTTAAACCCGTGTTCTATGGCAAATTTTGTGATTTTCCAGCAGGACAACGACCCAAAACATCGTTCAAAGCATTCACAGGCCTGGTTTCGGACCCAAAATATGACATTATTAGATTGGCCAAGCTATAGCCCTGACCTAAATCCAATTGAAAATGTTTGGGGACTTATGAAGGAAAGTGTCAATAAGAAAAATCTGACAAATATTGCTGAAATGAAAGAAGAGGTGGTCTCATATTGGGACAGCATGGACCACGACTTTCTAACTTCTTTGACAGTAGTATGCCCCGCTGCATTGAAGCCTGTATTGCTGCCCATGGTGACTTGACAAAATACTAACTGTTCACCTGTCTTTGAATCTGGAGTTATGTTATGCTAATATTCACATTTAATAATGAGTGAAAAAAATATAAAAATTTACAATCTTTAAATTCTCAATAATTTCTGGTTGTACTGTATCATTGTTCTCTCTCCAGGTCGACCAGCAGGAAGTGCCTAAAAAGAGGAGGAAGAGTTTCACCAACCCAGAGACCATTGAAACGTGAGTATAGTATCACTACTCATTACAGTTGTCTGAATGGCCAGTCACTCGCTCGTACAAGTTTCAAAGGCATTCCGACAGCACCGTTACCTGGCAGGTAGATGGTAATTACCTGTCAGTATCCCACACCTGGGATGGCGTGTCTTTACCTGAACTACAGTATACCCCCGTACTTCGGTCCTGATGATAAGGGATGTGCGAGAGGTACAGTGTCAGTACCTGGGGGCCCTTGGAATTTTACCGTAGTTCCTCCAGCAATCACAAGACGATGATCTTCGTTCAATAGTTTTATTAACACTGTGTTGCTGGTCAACCCACTCTATGGTCCCTCTATAAGACTTCAGCTGCAAAGCTTCAGTCTTAAGCCAAATGCTGGTGCTTCAAGATAATTTCTGAGACGATTCCTAGTGACCAAACATCAAGAGTAGGCTAGCACCTCTGAGCTTTGCTCCAGCTTAAAGCTGGGTTCCTACGTCACAGCCAACACCCTTCTCCATTTTTTCCATTGGTCAATAACCCATAACCTGACTATCTATTACTCTCCCCCACCTCTATTTCGTACCCCCAATACCATATTTGTAAGACTGTAAGGTGGATTCCAGGAATCTCAGAGTTTCTATCCCCTAACCATATATGACTCGTAGAATACCAACAACTGGTACCACAGTCCCTCGGATGGTTGCTCCATCTTGCTAGCGCAGCAGTTTTCCCTGTACCTAAGCTATGAGTCACCTCACCTTGCCCCCATCAGCTCTAACGACCTACTTTCATGTTTATTACCTCCGCTACTGATTTCCTACCTTACAAACATTATTAATCACTTCAAATCTTAAATATATGATTAAATCCTATCATAATTTGTATCTTATTACCTCTTAATCACCTGTTATTAATAATGTCAATTGTATATCTATTATTGTAGCAAGTACCATAATCTCATGCCTATAATACAAGGCCATGTCAGTTGGTTGACCAGCTTGTACAAATATCATGATGTCAATAAGTTTGATATAATGTCACCATATACTCTGGCATACAGACCCCAAAACAAATGTATCAAAAAAAACTCATGCAAGTCTACCATATGATGAAAGTCTAGATTACCACGGTTTCAATGAAGAAACTTTCTAGGATCCTTTCATTATATTTTATGAGTTTTATATTAGGAACTGATTTTTCTGTACAATGTGTTCATTTCAGAGACTAGATGTTAGTCTCGTCACCACTGACCCTGTCCATACTTTCAGTTAAAATTCTAAAAATTTGATAGTTTTTATGAGATGGATTATGTTTCCGAACATGAATATTTCTCTGAAAATGTATCTTGCAGCTTGAGAACTTGTTATGATAAACTTGTTATTTGTGTCACTAGCAGAGTGTGCAGGGTTTGACTGGCTTAGCTTTCATGTCAGACCTGCATGGGTACATTAGCCCATTCAGCTCAAAGAACACTCATAGCACATGTAACGCATTTTCCTTGACGGGTCATGCATCATGGAGATTGGTCAGTCTGAGGAAGATGCAAAAATGATTTTTCGCAGATGCCGAGGTCAGTCATAGGAGAACAGAATTTACACTTTTTTCCGAATTGTGACATGAAATTAAATATCTTTGTATGTTGTGAACTTATAATTTTGAACTCCTTTCATTTACTATAACAAACTGTAGAATGTTTTACCAGATGAATGTTTGGTTGCATAATGGCTGTGTATATCCAAAGTCTATTCAGCTTGTGAAAACCGTTTTGTGAATCCTGTTATTTACATGTCATTGAGAAAAATAGTACGTAGCAATCCTAATTGTATGGTAATAATACCCTGTTGCTCTGTTCTTGATCTATTTGATCTATTGCTAACTGTGTCAACAACAGTAAAGGTCTTTGGTCATGGAGAATAAAGGGAGATAACTCTTTGCGCCCAAATTGGATAATCCCATGCTCATCATTGTCATTTGTTTTATTTCTTCAGGCCATTTTATTAAGAAACCAGTGTATCTTTATAATAGTGAGAAAATATGGAAACATACTGTCATAAAAGTAGATGTACATGATAAACATATACATCAACAAATGAGCCTTTTATTAGAGGTAAAAGAATAAATCTAAAAGAATATTTGAAAATATTAAGATAATGATTTTTTTAATATAACAGTGTTCATATGAAACCACAACTGATCTCAATATGAAAAGAGCAAAAGCAGTGAGGTGAATGTTAAAGCAGACGGTATTTCACAAGATAATCTAACAGGTAACAGGCAATTGCAGTTGAAGGGAGGTAACTCTACAAGCTCTGCTGGTAGATCATCATGCTACAAGGAGTTGATGATTCAAATCAATGGATTGGGGCATTAACAGTTGGTACTGATGAAAGTTTCTTGATCAATATCAGCAATGACTTAGTAGCAACTAAAATAGCATGCAGACATGCAGATGTATTGATTCTGCGATGTGGAATGCATAATTTTGTGTAATATTTGCCGTCAGTTCTCATCGTTGTTGCTTTCTATACTATAGGATCACATTTTCCTGACAGCAGTGAAACATTGTATAATGTATATTTCGAGTCATATGACATTGTTCCCAGAGAATGTAAAAATGTGAGGTGAAATTACATATCTAATACCTGCACATTCCAAAGAAGCTCATTCCCAATTTTGAAAAGAAACATTTGTGGTCATTTTTTCACATTTCCATCAATGTACAACAGGAATTAAAAATATTGGGGCAAGTCAATCCCAAAGAAATCCCAGAAATATTGTGACTTTGAACAGTTTAATCATAACAGTGAGTGAGTGAGTGAGTGAGTGAGTTTGACACTGTTTTAAACAGTATTACAATTACATTAGATGAAGATGAAGGCCTGAGTGATGCAGGTCACAGATGATGATGATGATTTTAAGGGGGGGTCACCCATTTTGTTCTGGGGAGGTAAGGGGGTCAGCAATTTGTACACATGTTTCTAGGGGGTCAGCAATTTTGGGGATCTTTTTCAATTTATACTCATGCCAATAATGGTTGTCACCCCTTCAATTTTTTTAATTGGAGAAGGGGTGTGGGGTGGGGGTGTGAGGTGTGTGTGTGGGGTTGGGGTGGGGAAGGGAGTGACAACCATTATTGGCATGGGTATAATCTGGTTTATTTGTTTCCATCGAAATTATATATAATCGGAGACTAAGCACTAGACTAGGTCATACTCATCTCACAAAGAACATGCACTGAACTTGAGGACATTGCTGTCAAACTCACAGCTGCAGTGGCCATGCTTGCTGTTGTTGTGTAGTTGCTAAGGCCAACTTCAGAACATGCTTGTGTTTGTTTGTTCAGCACACACAATTTGATAAGCTCTCCTCCACGTTATATATTGCTCCATATTTATTTTGACATTCATGCACACTCCATAGCTGCCCACACAACCAGATGTATGACCCAGTCAGTGACACGCCCTCTTGTCTGTGGTCAGTGCTGCCAGCTTGACCTACATTAGGTCATTGTGACTGGGTCAAAAGTAATGACTCGACATTTGGTGCAGACTACTTATAATGTTATCAAATGTCAATGTCATATCTTACTTTGGAATCTTCAAGTGTTTATTGAATCACTTGGCCACTATACATTGATGGACAAGGAAAGGACTCTTGTCATACACGCTTGACTTAGACTAGCGTTTATCTCTGAATGTGTATAATTTTGATAATAACAAATAGACCCAATTAAATTGAAAAGGAGCCCCAGGGAGACCAGAGATTCAGAACCTGAGGAAATCTAGACTTGCTTCATTTAGGGGTTTAGCATTGCAGGGAGGGCTAGGCTGTAGGGACAATAATGTGGTTCAGGGACTGTGAGACAGACTAGGAGGGCTAGGCTGTAGGGACAATAATGTGGTTCAGGGACTGTGGGACAGACTAGGAGGGCTAGGCTGTAGGGACAATAATGTGGTTCAGGGACTGTGAGACAGACTAAAGCTTGACTATGTATATCTGTGTGGGTGTTCCTGGACTATTGGTCTCTACAGAGTTGAGGTTATATATGTATTGTCTCCACACACATATTGCACTTGATTTCCGTATATGGCCTCCATATTATTTTTTGTGTTTCTCATCTTCATCCAGAGTTTGATGGTTATTGTTTAACGCCACACTCAACTTTATGGTGGCGGCCTGTAACAAATCGAGTCTGGACAAGACAATCCAGTGATCAACAACGTGAACATCGATCTACGCATTAATTTGGATACGATGACATGTGTCAACCAAGTCAGTGAGCCTGAACACCCAATCTCGTTAGCCGCCTCTTATGACAAGCATGGGTTACTGAAGACCTGTTTTTGATCTCCCTGGACATTTGTTTATGATCTCTCTGGACATATGTTTCTGATCTCTCGGGACATTTGTTTCTGATCTCTCTGAACATTTGTTTCTGATCTCTCTGAACATTTGTTTCTGATCTCTCTGGATATTTGTTTCTGATCTCCACATTTGTTTCTGATCTCCACATTTGTTTCTGTTCTCCACATTTGTTTATGATCTCCTGAACATTTGTTTATGATCTCTCTGGACATTTGTTTCTGATCTCTCTGGACATTTGTTTCTGATCTCTCTGGATATTTGTTTCTGATCTCCACATTTGTTTCTGATCTCCACATTTGTTTCTGATCTCCACATTTGTTTCTGATCTCTCTGAACATTTGTTTCTGATCTCTCTGGACATTTGTTTATGATCTCTGGACATTTGTTTCTGATCTCCACATTTGTTTCTGATCTCTCTGAACATTTGTTTCTGATCTCTCTGGATATTTGTTTCTGATCTCTCTGGATATTTGTTTCTGATCTCTCTGGACATTTGTTTCTGATCTCTGGACATTTGTTTCTGATCTCTCTGGACATTTGTTTCTGATCTCTCTGGACATTTGTTTCTGATCTCTCTGGATATTTGTTTCTGATCTGGACATTTGTTCTCATTTGTTTCTGATCTCTGGACATTTGTTTCTGATCTCTGGATATTT